TTTAAACAATAAAGAATAAAAATTTCCCCAAGAAATAATTTTTTGGGAGAAAAAATATTTAAAAGAAATTGGAATATTTTTCAAAGAAAAATTTTTTTAAGAAAACTAAATTAATTGTGTTGAATGTGTTATGAATTTGTTCTAGGATATTTTTACCCAAGAAAGTCGTATATCTTGCCTTCCAAATGCCATTTATTTCACAAAATTCCCTTGGGAAACAAAAAAGTTATGAGTATTTTTCTTAATTAACACAATAATTATTATAAATCATACGCTCCCTATGACCCGAATTAATATTTAAAATACACCACGATATTCTCAGAATTTTAAATTAATTTATATGGAATTTCGTTGGCACACTTAATTCTCTTATAATTTATTAAACTAAAAATAGCCATCACATTCCTGAACAATTTTATTTTCTACTCAGAATTAATTAATTTCAGAATTAATCAATTTCCCCACATCTATGGCAGATGAAATGCTATAATGTTACAAATATTTCTAATGTGAATTTTTTTATAAGGGGCGTTTCTTCTATATAAAGGGATATGACGTCAAGATGTCAAACAAATGTAAATGTGGGGCCATATTAAAAAATAAGACAGCCATCCGAAACAAGGTATGCATTCGAAATCTAGTTTTATTAAAATTCTTGACAGTTGCTGTAAACGTCAAAGGAATTTTAATCGTAGAAAAGAATTACAAAAAATGTACTGAAGAATTTCAGCAATAAATTAAACTATTTCAGGTAATTTATTGTTATTTAAATACTGCTGTTTTGAGATTTTTATCGAAAACAGAAAAATTATTTTTTGTTGAGAGGTAAGATTCGTGTTAATGGCATGTGGCCATTTATTAAAATGGGTGTGAATGCTGCTGGCTGCTGCCGTTTGCAACATTGTTGGCATACTAATCTCAAAACTATGCTAAGGCATGTCATAAATTTTTCGAAAACAAAAATGCAGTGCTATAAGTGATTGTTGACAGCAAAAAAAAAAAAATGAAATAAAATAAAAATAATTTGTAAAACTTAACTGGCAGAGCAGCATGAGAACAATATCAGAAATCTTGAGGATTTTTTTTTTATAAATTAAATGAATGCAGGGCGGAATATTGAAGAGGTACTAAGGGAATTTTTGATATTTAAGATAATCGGAATTAAAATAAGTTAGCAAAGAAATTTTTTCCTTCAAATGTAAGGATGAAAAAAATAAAAATTTGAAAAATAATTGTTTCAAAGCTTGAAAATTTTTCATTTTTAATTGAATAAATATATAAGCCATAGCCTATAATTTGGGTCCGCAATCTTAAGTATTTGCTAGTTTTTGTTTCATTTGATTTGCTTAAATAGGTTAGAAGTTATTTGGGTTTTACTGCAGGTATATTAAATAGCTGAATATACTAATGTGTGATTATTATTAATTTTTACATATGAAGGCGTATGAGTACTATTATTTTTTCCTTGGCGTATTTCAAGCTTATAATCTTAGGTATTTATGGCTTTTTGTTTCACGAAAATATCTCCACAAATAAAAAAGTTATGAGCATTTTTCCAAAATATCCCATAATTAATAATAGTCATACGCGCCAAGGGCCAACATTTAAAAATTTCGTAATTCCTAAATTATAAATGCTAGAGTGCTGATTTTTTGTAGGCGTACTAATGGGGGTTTTAATAATTTATTTATATATTGAAATAATAACAGAAAAATATTTATTATATAGTAATAATATCATATGTAATAATTTCTATTATTTTTCCACCTGAAGGTGTATGAGACCTATATTTTTTCCCTCCACATATTTCAAGCTTATAGTCTTAGTTATTTATAGCTTTTTGTTTCACGAAAATATCTCCACAAATAAAATAGTTATGAGCATTTTTCGAAAGTAACCCATAATTAATATTAGTTATACGCTCTAAGGGCCAAAATTTAAAATTGCCATAATTTGTAAATTATAAATGCTAGAGAGCTGATTTTTTGTAGGCGTACTAAGGGGTTGAAATACTTTATTTATATATTAAAATAATAACAGAAAAATATTTATTGTATATTAATAATATAATAAGTAATAATTTCTATTGTTTTTCCACATGAAATCATATGAGACCTGTAGTTTTTCCCTCTGTATATTTCCAGCCTATAGTCTTAGGTATTTATAGCTTTTTGTTTCACGAAAATATCTCCACAAATACAAAAGTTATGAGCATTTTTCCAAAGTAACCCATAATTAATAATAGTCATACGCACCAAAGGCCAACTTTTAAAAATTCCGTAATTCCTAAAGTATAAATGCTAGAGTGCTGATTTTTTGTAGACATACTAAGGGGTTTATATACTATTATTAGATATAAAAATAGCTGATAAAAATATTTAACAAATACTTTATTTTCATAATTATAAAATTCCTGATTAAATTTTCTATGAACTAAGGTAAGCCTTAAATTTTTCTAATTTACGTTGCTAAATATATTATTTTACTAAGCCATTTAGCTCACCATGACAACGTCTCTCATCCGATATATCCTCGGGGCAATCAATATTGCCATTACACCTTAATTCCTTACTAATACATGTACCATCATCACACTGCCATTTATCATGTAAGCAGGCTAAACAAATTTAAAGTAGAGAAGAGAATTTCAATAAAAAATTTCCTAGAGTTTTTGAAAAATGCCAACAAAAAATAAACAAAAAGTCAACAAACATACGACATCCTTCCTCATCCGAACGATCCTGAGGGCAATCAACCTGACCATCACAGCGATGGACAATGGAAATGCAACTGAAGTCGCGGCAGGTAAATTTGCCCTTGGGGCAAAAATATTTTAATTTGGGAACAACTATTCCATTTTTTTTTATTTTTAAGAACAAAAGGTATTTCCAAAAGAGAGCAGCAAAGGGGAAAATAGAGAAAGAAGAGAGAATTTTTACAATCGTTTAATGTAGATGAAATATTTTACACTGAAGTTTGTTATTTTTTTTACACACAAGACAATAATACTTACTGCTATCACAGTGTTCTTCATCATCACCGTCCACACAATCTTCGACGCCATCACAAAGATTGCCTTCACTGATGCAGGTGATACCATCTCGACAGAGATGTTGATCACTGGCGCATACAACGGCTGGCGAGTAGTTAGATGATCATTTTTTGAGAGGGGGGTTAGCAGGTTAGTCCAGTTGAGATGGGGTTAATAGTTTTTTTTTTTAGACATGCAGTTCAGGTTTTTTACAAAATTTTTTGGGTTAGTTTTGGGAAAAATAAATTAGATTAGAGAAGGATAATATTAATTTTTAGTTTGTTGTTAAATTTTTTTGTTTAGTTTTGGACACTCATAAGACTTAGTTAATACAATATGTTTTGCTGAGGATATTTTGCTTTTTTTATAAGTCTTAGCTTAGCCTATAAATAGCTTCAATATATATATATATATTAAATACTTGATATATATATAGACAACAAATGTGTTATACTGTGATAATAAAATACATATAGATATTTATAGTAGTGACTAGAGGTGTTGCTTAGGTTTGTTTTAGAATAAATATTTTTTTTTGTGAAAATCTACTTACGGCATCTATCATCCTCATCATCACCATCGGGACAGTCTCTGATGGTATCACAACGTCTGGCAATGTCAATACAGTTGCCGGCACGACATTTATATTCATTGGATTTGCATTCTAGAAAAATAGAAGAAGAAAAAAATTATTAAAAATTGAAATCGGAAAATTGGAAATTCTTTTAATAAAACTAGACCTTATAAAATTGAAATTTTTCTAAAACTTTCAGATTTGTTCTATGAAAGATTTATGCCTATTTCTAGCTTAAAGTCTTTAGTATTTTTCGGTTTTTGTTTCACGAAATTATCTCCATTAATAAAAAAGTTATGAGCATTTTCCCAAATTATGCCATAATTAATATTAGTCATACGCTCCAAAGGCCAACATTTAAAAGTTCTGTATTTTCTACATTATAAATGTTAGGGTGCTGATTTTTTTGTAAACGATTTATAGGTATTTATTACGATTATTATGCATCGAAAAATACATATTTTTTGATTTTGTTGAAGTCCTAAAATCAATATTAAAAAAATCCTTAAGCATATATAATTTTTTTTGTAGTTCTTTTGCAGTTATTCCTTCAAATATTTTTAGGTGTGTTTCTAGCCTAAAGTCTTAAGAACGTTTCGATTTTTGTTTCGTGAAAATATCTCTATAAATAAAAAAGTTATGAACCCTTTTCCAAATTATGCCATAATTAATATTAATTATACGCACCAAAGGCCAAGATTTTAAAATTCAATATTTTCTAAACTATAAATGCTAAGATGCTGATTTTTTGCAAGCGATCTAAAGGTATTTGTTACGATTATTATGCATAGAAATATATATATATATATATATATATATATATTTTGATTTTGTTGAAGTCCTAAAATCAATATTAAAAAAAGACTCCTTGAGAATAACTTAACATTTTTTAGTTCTTTTGCAGTTATTCCTTCAAATATTTTTAGGTGTATTTCTAGCCTAAAGTGTTAAGAATTTTTCGATTTTTGTTTCACGAAAATATCTCCATAAATAAAAAAGTTATGAGCATTTTCCCAAATTATCCCATAATTAATATTAGTTATACGCACCAAAGGCCAATATTTAAAAATTCAATATTTTCTAAACTATAAATGCTAAGATGCTGATTTTTTTGCCAGCGATCTAAAGGTATTTCGTACGATTATTATGCATAGAAAATATATGTTTCGATTTTGTTGAAGTCCTGAAATCAATATATAAAAATACTTAAGAATAACTTAAAATGTTTTAATTCTTTTGTAATTATTCCTTCAAGTATTTTTAGGTATATTTATAGCCTAAAGTCTTAAGAATTTTTCAGTTTTTGTTTTACGGAAATATCTCCATTAATAAAAAAGTTATGAGCATTTTTCCAAATTATGCCATAATTAATATTAGTCATACGCACCCAAGTCCCAAATTTAAAAATGCGATAATTTCTAAAATACAAATGCTAGGATTTTGATTTTTTTTGCAATTGGTTTATAGGTATTGAATGTTTTACATGTGTACATATCAAATAAAAAAATCAACAGTTTGTTGCGTTTTATTATAATTCTCTTTAATACGATAACATGTCAACAATAATAACAATGGCATTGATTTTCAAAGAAATAAATTTATATTCTTACCCTGAAATATTTTTTTTGCTTATATGCCAAATAACAAATAACCTTTCTAACATATGTATGTATGAAATTCATACTGACAAGGACATGCCATAAAAATTATCATAAAAAAACGAAAACCTCCAAAAAATATAAAAGAACCACAAATGTCTTGAACCCTTATGCCAAAACCCTTGTGTGCCTTCCTGCCAATTATCAAGTAGCTACTTCGGCTAATATCAACAAGACATTTGTCTAATGTTGCTGCCTTTGGTTCAATGGCTTACTTCGTGGCTTCGTTGTTGTCGTTGATTTTTTTTGTTGCTCCACCATTGACATTAAAACAAACGCTTCCAATAATTCAAATTAAACCGTTAGCATTTATAGGCATATAAATAAATTTATTTAATTCATCATTACCAAGCCATGGCGGATGGCGGCTATATGCTCATGTCAACCGAAAAAAATCGAAACTCCAGAACACGCTAAATATTTTTTACGTGGTTGTGGTTGTTATTTTTGTAATAAGTTTTGTTTGTGTAACCATGACTATAAATACCGAATATCATGCAATCCATGCAAGGAACCAACGACGACATTTACATGGGACAACAACAACAATGACAACGACAACTTTTGAACATTATCACCAGCCAACTATCTATTTATTTGTAAGCAGAACACACAACTTCGAAATGATTGTTTGCTTGTCTGCAAATATTTGTAACGCATAACAGTGTACCACGAAGTTGTCTCTGTCTATGTGGAGTTACAAGATATTAACACAACCATAAACCTGGCTGGCGGAATGTCAACATGAAAAAAAAAACCTGTGGAAATAGTTTCGCCAACATTCTAAGCAATTCCGTTTCCTGTGCAATAGTCATACACACACACGCGTCGCAAATGGAGACAAAATTCTCATAATCCTCACAAGCTTCAGTCTATTAGTTCGGTAGGGTGTAATTTCGGTTAAATTTACATGGATTTACTCATTAAAATCAATAATTATATTATTAGACTATGGGTCGTATGAGTGTTGTCACCACTCATACGCTCCATGTGACTTGGAAGGGATTTAACAGGAAATTATCATAAATTATAGTTGCAGATAATTTTCTGAAGCTTTCCTTGAAGGTAAATTTATTGAGACAAATTCGGAATGGTTCATTAAGGACAATTTTTTTATATAAATTTCCAAAACCCTTTTCTGAAGTCTAATTTTCTTCAAAAGAAAATATCTAAAGCCTTTTGAGTAGGTAAACTTGCTATTAAAATTTTTCTGTAGACTTTCCAGTAGTTTAAATGTCTATAGAATTTTTTTTTCTAAATTCTTCTCTGAAGTCAAATTCCCTATAAAAAATTCTGAAACCTTCCCTGAAGGCAAAATTCCTCTACATAAGACTTTTTTAAAATACCTTCGAAAAATGCTCCTACAGAATATATAGGACCTCCGGATTTTTATTAAATTGAACAGAAGACTTTTTCAAGTCTTCTGGGTTCTCTAGGAACATCTGTAGAATCTAAGACCCTGAAAGAGACTTGTATAAAATAAAAGACCCTCAAAAAATACATTGAAAAGTTATTTGAATACAATCTTTTCATAGAAATTTCTTGGAACCTTCCTTCATGCCTAATTTACTACAGAATAAAATTGCAATTTTCTCTAGTCTTTCATTTGAAAATTCTCTGAAAATTTCTAAACTCATCTCTGAAGGCAAATTTTCTGTAGGAACATTTCTTGAAGCCTCTATTGACGTCAATACTGCTATAGAAGAAAATTCAAAATTTTCTGTAGTCTGTCGGTGAAATGTCGATAGAAAATTTCTTAACTCTTCTCGGAAGGTAAATTTTCTATACATAAATTTTTGAAGTCATGTCTGAACGTAAATTTTCTCTAGAAGAATTTTTAAGCTGTCTTTGAACGTAAATTTTCTCTAGAGGAATTTTTGAAGCATTCTTTGAAGGTAAATTTTCTGCAGAAAAAAAACTCTAAAACCTTCGACGAGGTCAAATTTTCTCTAGAAGCTTTTTTGAAGTCTTTCCTGAAATCAAATAATCTATTTATGTACTATTTTTTCTTCATATCTAACTGGCCTATAGTCTTAGCTATTTTTAGGTTTTTGTTTCAAGAAAATATCTCTAAAATTGTAGAAGTTATAAGCATTTTCCCAAATATTCCCATAATTAATATTAGTTATACGCACCAAAGGCCAAGATTTAAAAATTCGATATTTCCCTTATTAAAAAAATGCTGGGATGCAGGTTTCTTTGCACATCGTTTAAAGGTATTTAATACGATTATGTTGTATAAAACTGTATAGAAATTTTTGATAGATAATCGATTTTTTTAGAAAATTTTTTCCTTAAAAATATATAAAAAATTTTCAATTATTTTTAATTTTTTTTTTTCTAAATATTTTTCCTTATATTTTTAGCTTATAGTCTTAGGTATTTGTAGGATTTTGTTGCACGAAAATATCTCCACAATTGAAAAAGTTATGAGCATTTTCCCAAATAATGCCATAATTAATACTAGTTATACGCACCAAAGGCCAACATTTAAAAATGCTCTCATTTCTTCATAGTAAATGCTAGAATTCTGAATTTTTGTATATGGTTAGAATATATTTAGAGCTTTTATTTAGCATAATAATATAAATTAAAATTGGCTATAGAAAATATTCCAGGAAGGAAAATCTGCTATTGAAAAATGTTCAGAAGTCTTCCACGATATGCAGAGTTCTTTACCTTTATTTGAGTTATTTTTTTCTCTAGATTTTTAAAAAAAATATTTTTTATTTCACTTATTTTTTTCTAAAATAAAATGTCCCCGTATTTTCCTAAACGATTTGATTTCATTTAGTTGCCATCAATATTTATTGGTGTCAACATTCAATTGTCTCTATAAATTGATAAAATGATAGCTTTCCGTTTTTTTTATTTTCCTCGTGGTACTCTTTTCAATTGTTAGCTATATTTTTTATAAATATTTTTTACATATGATTACAAATAGTAACATTGTAACCTTGGCATCCATATGTCTCGCCTTCAATTGTCGCTTAACGAGAGAATCACGATTTATTATTTGGTGGGTTGAAAAAAATAGAAAAATATTAATTGATGTAAAACAAAACACTTAACGGCAAGGCGAAAAAGAAAAACAAATCAAAAAACAATTTTTTTTTTCAGTGGGACGACACTGGATCTGGGCATAGAAAAAAATGCAATGCAATTTTTAAAAATAAGGAAAAATCAAGTTTTTTACCCACCATTTTAAATTATTTTAATTGGTCTATTGGAGCGTATTAGTGTTGGCAATACTCATACAACCCAGGTTGCCATTTTTTCAATGAACTTAGGGGACGTATTAGTACTGACAACACTCATACGGTCCATAAACAAAGTATGCATGTGAATATGCTGCGTAATACAAATTTATATCGATTATACGCCCATTTGGCCAACATTTTTTTTATCAGGACCCTGCTTTTAAATAGCAAA